AACAAAGTTACTTTATATAATTTTATTTTTGTTAATTAAAATAATTTGAATTCTCTTAATATGTTTGACATTTATTTATTTGAATTTATCTATTAAACAAGTATTCATACTTTTGTATCCAGCTATTGATCAAATATGGTGAATATTGAGCCCCTAGAGTACCACGATTTTCTGTTACAAAATTTAATGAAAGTTTGTGGATATGTTGGACTCATTTATTGTTCAACTATATAATTATTTTTCACAAAACTTGTCATTGAATCCACAAATTATATGCTATATATTTGCCATAATATATGAGTTTTTATTCTAATATCAATCAGTAATAAATAATTACTAATTAATCACAACTTATTTGCATTTATTTTGCGTTTTTAATTTAGTTGTGTATAACATATTTTAGGCAAATGTTTGTTAATTAGTCAAAACCTCTATTATAAACTCGCAAAAGTTTTAAATATTCCGCACCCATTATGGTATCAATTTGCTACATTAGTTATATTTTTTATACAGCATATTACTATACCTTTAATTCACATTTACCGTATTTAAAAGTGATTACTTAAAAATATACGTTTAGCATACATAACAGTCGATTGAAATGTTATTTACTTAAATTATTTTTTAGTAAACATATTCATCATAACTAGCAATAATAATTAAGTAATAACGTTTTTAAATATTTAAAAACCATATAATGATAACAATATTAAATGCGTAAAGACTTCAAATAAATATATTAAAGTACCGTTAAGTCAATAAAATGCTGTAAAAGTAATAAATATTTCTTTAAAAATAAAACTGTAAATAAAACATAAAAAACCCTTTTGACTAATTATTTGTAAATCATGGATAACTAACATTATATATTATATAAAATAAAAATAATTGTATATTAAAAATGATTTATAATGCTATAAAATTGAGTTTAATGTCTGTTTGCAATTATGGGAATAATAATTATGAATATTTTACTACTTTTGAGAACCCCTTCCCCTAAACACAAACAAAACGATAGACTCCGGCATATAATTCATAGTTAATTGTCTGAATCACATATAAAACAACATTTTATAGTCTTTTTACTATTGTAAGTAATTTTTATATAATATTTGACTTTTTATCGTAGTGTTTGATTACCATAGCTCTCTCTCTCTCTCTCTCTCTCTCTCTAAAAATATTGGAAAAAAGATTTATTAATATATAAATAATATATGAAAAATGTTTTATAAAATCATACAATATATGCTTTGTTTAAGATTATTAGTAATGTATTTTCTGTTTTTAAAGTTTTTTATAAACTATTTATTGATTCATAAAATATATTATAAAAATGTTTTTGAAGTCTAATACGGATCTCATGTTTTTGGCAAAAGTTGTAATATTTGATTGAAAGTTGTTTGACGAGTAAAAGTCGGCAATATTTTGGTGACATATCTCGCAAAAGAACTTAACATAAGATATGACATGAATTCACATGAATTCTTGACATCACTTCTTGTGATACCAATTGATAACAACTTTTTATTTTATATTCTTCTCAATTGACTATCAATTGATGTCTTGAATAAAGAATTTCGAAATAAAATATTTATTGAAAACATGACTCAAACTAACGATCAATTCTGCATATTATATAATATCTTATAATATATATCCATATAATAAGATATACTTGTATTCAGAGTTAGCCATCAACTGATCGAAGACTCATTTTATATACAAATAATAAATTGAATGCAATGTTAAGAATACACACAAACTCTACACTTTTGAGAGTATTATATATTCTCGTATCGAATAAACATACGATTGATATGTTTTATGACACGAATATTCTATACATTCATGTTTTATATATCAAGTATATGTACCCCTCTTATCGTCTCTCTCTCTCTCTCTCTCTCTCTCTCTCTC